CAGTATCTCTGAAATTTCATTGGGAACATTTGATTAACAATAAGCGAGAAAGTGCTTGATAAGTTGGTCAGATTCCTTTAGCAGGAGAAATTGTGCAGCAAAGATAAGGCTTTAAGGACTAATAAAAATGCCATCAAAGTATGTTGAAAAGCAGTTTGCATTTGATGCTCTGTGGTAGACTGTGGATACTCCCGAAAAATTAAACAAATGATGGCAAAAATAAGCTTAATGTTTGTATTTATAACTCACAGATGCATCCATATTTATATTTAGCTCCATTTAATTCTTATAAACATATGAAGGTGAAATACATTAATTGTCTTTCCTCTTAGTGATAATTTTTATTTCTGTTAAATTTTGTTGATCAAGAGAATTGCTTACAAGAATAGTCTATATTTTGTGGATGAAATCCATGCCATATAAATTTGCCTTGAGATTTTGTTTTTGTAAACATTGCAAATTTCCTGGAATAATGTTGTAATGCATTGGGAACACTATTTAAAGACAGAAACCAGTACAAAAATAGTATTTTAACATAGTGGCATAATAGCATATTGCCCACATGGACAATGTTCTCTGTTATTGCCAATCTATAATGGTTTAAGATTGTGTTTTCTAGAGTTGCTAGAAATCTGTATCAGCAGTTACAGATAACTACAGTTACAGACCTGTGCATACATTGGAATAAATTCATTTGAACTTTATGTGACTTAGTTGTGACTAAACATATATAGGATAGGATTATGATTCCTAAACACACTCATTTGTAAGTTGCTTTGAAATGCCCTTTAAAATTCATATTCATATACATGTATGTATTCATATATATATATGAATATGTATGTGAATACATGAATGAAAAGCAGCTACTTCCTAATCAAATAAAATGATAAAACAAAACATTTGAAGTTTATGTTATGATTTAAAATTGGCTACTGAATTGTATAGTTGCAATTTGGAACATGAACTACTATAGGCAATCTCCTGAAAAATCTCTTGTGTATGCATAGGAAAATTTTCATAGAATAAGTAACAGTCAACAGTTTTCAAAGATAACACATGAGCTGTATTTTTGCAGGAATAATTACATTTTGGGTGCTATGTTTGTATAAGGACCTAATCCAATCAAGGCATCTTAGATAGAAACATAAAGGATATACTAAATGTTGCATGTCATAGGAAAAGGGAAAATATCAATGGTTCAATAACTTGGAGCTGGAAAAATTGAATTATAATGCTATTAAAACACTTTGTCTCTTCTGCCCTCTCCCTCATTTCTGCAAATATTTTTATAGCATGACTAGTCTTGTAAGGAAGGGACAAAGGCAGCAATCCTATAAACACTTAACCTGCCAAGTAATTCCATTGAATGCAATGGAGCTTGCTTCTAGAGCAGACATGAATAGGATTGTACTCTAAGTTACTCAGTGTTTCCAATGATTGATGTGAGGTATTGCATTGACCTCGAATCTAGTAGAAGTGGAACTCTCATTGTTTTTATTACCTTTTTGTTAGATAATAATGCTGCATTATGTCATTTTCTTCTCAAAACATGTGAGAACAATTTTTTGTAATTTCTCTTTAGTCAATGGAAAACAGTACATTTGTTAAACATTTTCTTAATTTATTTGATAAGTACTTTGTTAAACCTTTATAGTAAATGAAGTTAGATGTTGAGACTTTTAATTAATACTTTTATTAAAAGTGTAAATATAAACCTGAGATGGATGGCTGTGTCAAACTATCTTACAGTATCATATATGTACATCTTAGAAAGTAGTTGCAGTCCTGACCAGAGAACCATGAAGCTCACCCTTCCATTAGGGGAAATGTTCCAGGAGAAGCAGTGTGTCTGAGAACCAGTGGCTTGCTGTCTGATCTAGCAACATGCTCTCTTCATACGTTTTTCCAAATCCTAGCTCCATCATTTTGTATTATACCTGTGCTAAACAGCAGCTGAACAAATAAGAACATAAAATGGGGAAACATTTGTAAAGAAAGCAGGAAATTGGTCAGAGTAGCTGGCACTACTTCACAGCCAATGGCTAAAAAAAGCAGTTGTGTAATGCAACATTTGGAAAACTGCATACTTCTTTTTATTGATGTACATTAAAAAATGCAATTGCAGGAAACCTGTTTCTCTCACACATGCACTTTAAGACACCCAGTTGAAGGCCGGTGCCACCAATGTGAATCTGCTACTCTTGTGCTACAGGTGGTGCTAAATTAGTGAACTGTATAGTGAGTGAGCTGTATAAAGCTCTGCACTGAGAATTGCTGGGGCAATAATGCCACTGAGCTGTGACTAGGTTTTGCTGCTCTGTTCCTCCTCTCTCAGAGAGTAGGAAGGGCCTATGTGCACTCCTAATTGTTAGGTCATTGATCTCTTTGAATAGCAGTGGTACATGTGGTGCTGAAATGGAAAAAGCATATTATATTCCTTGCAGCTGATACAAACTTCAAAGAAGCTAACAGGATATTATTTGGAAAAGCTTTTAAAACACTATTGGACATGGGATTGATATGGACACAGTAATAAAACTGGAAAATGTCTATTTTCCTTTTTTAAAATGCTAGAGTAAAAATGTTTGTGCAATTAACTATTTTCAACAAAATGATTAAAATTAATGCATTTCAAAAGAAAAACTTTGTTACTATTTAGACCAGGAATTCACATTAGAAGTGAATATTATACACAAATATTTGAATTTACTTTAAGTTTTTTCTTTCAAAGCTGAGGTTGTGACCCCCTGAATGTAAAAAGCCTTGCCAATAAAATACCAAAAGTGTGTTTAAATATTAAGTGCTATGCTCAACTCTCAACAGCAAGAAATGTGTGATCTATAAAGACAGGGAAACTATATTGGAATCATAGTGCAGGAATAAGCCCTCATCAAAAAGGTTTTCAAAAAGGAACCACATGGCTGCCATATATGTGCATCTTCCTGGGACAAGTATAAGGGTGAGCTTGTGGATGATTTTCATCAGGTGACAAGGAAAAATTTCTTCCTCATTATTCTGTATCTCTAGATTGCCTCATTCCTCGGCTGGCTGCTTGGTTGTAATGTTGCATGTAGAGTGGATGAATTTAACTTGCAAACAAAAAAATATGTATGGTTATATTGATCTTGTTCATGCTGTAAAAGTAATTGCACTAGCTAATTTAGAACATCTCATAAATAAAAGCATGTGAAAAACTAAGCTAGTAAATAATGCACCCATTTTAATTGTTGCAAAAACTAAATTAGTACTTACTCTGACAAAAGCAGGAATCTAATAAATCTTTAACAAAGTGTGCCTTGTTAATGCAACCTTAATATGCCTTATTGTTGAATGTGATTATGAAATTTTAATAGACTTTTTGCCTATTAAGATAAAATACTTTCTAGAATCAACTAACGTATGTCTCTCTATATAGCAATTATAGTTTGTATTACTGCCCCCATCCAGCACTCTGTAATGGTTGCATTTCCTTCAAGGGCTTTCTTATTCATGCGAATGGTAGAGATCCACATTCCTTATGTAGGAAGCTTTGCCCATGTGCATTGAATTCATCCACTGAAACAAGGACTGCTCAGATATTCTGGGTTTTTGAACACAGTTTCTGCATTTGCAAAGCTATTGAGGCAGCCCACCAAGAAATAACTACTGTATCTCCACTTGTCTAGCATGTACTTAAGGAACTTCGGCAAGTCTTTTGCAATAAATCCAGGTTGACAAAAGACATTGTTTGGCGCAGTATATCCTGTTATCAAAGATATTTTGTTTCCAGCCCTTTGATATGCTTCTTTCTTTAATACTATAAACCCATGACAAAAGTTTGTCAAACTCTTATTCAGGGTTCTACATAGTTTACAATAAATATGTTATTGTAACATAATATTCAGTTGCTGCATGCCCACACCTTGATTTAAACTGGCTTACTATCCAATTTAGTTTATCAAACCCTTTTGGATTTCTACAAGCACTAATAAGATGGTGCTACCTTTTATTTGGCAGTGTTACATGTTAATCAAATTACTTGCCTTAGCTCAAGATGTGGGCTACTTACTTTTGATTAAAGGTACAGCTTTGCTTAATATGAGCCATGCTGCACGAGAGATAAAACTGGCCAATGGATAATATGACAAAGGTAGTCATATGCTGAGGATGAGCACAATGGCTGTAGTCAAACTTTCATAACCAACAACAATTCCTGTTACTTTAGCAAAGAGTTGTAGCTCAGTGTTAATACTGGAAGACATCTCATTACTTCCAGTGTCTGGAATTTATGAATGATTGTGCAATTCTTTTTAGTTAAGTGCTTAAGGTAGGAAATTCCACATGGTATCTTACAGTCTATTAGGTTCCTTGGCTGCTAAGTCACAAACCTTTCTTAACTTGTTCACCAACTTTTCTTCTGCCAGCCTGCTGCTGTTTCTTTTATGTGAACACCCCACCACCTGGACTATGATTTTGGAGAGACATTGGCTCTTACTAAATGGTTAACATCACTGTGTTCAAGCTACCTCTATGTTACCTCTACAGAACAGTAACATTTGAGAAGGAAACATGACATACCCTTACTTCCAAATCACCTTTGGCTATCCTAATACATAGGCTGGCGGATATTAAGCTTGTAAGCAGTGGTGTATGTTCCTGCTGTTTCTTATAAATAAATTAAACATTGTAATAGGTATTCTCATACATCAAGGGATATTCTCTCATACATCTGCTAACATTTTATTATCTTTGGAAAAGCTGTATGAAAGTGGTCAGTACTTGGAAACACTATTCATAGATTATCTCTAAGCAGTTACAAGAGAAATTCAGTACAATCTTGACCATATTTACTTGAAAGTAATTCCTGTGTCCATTGGGCCTTACCATCTGATAAGGGGATAGGAATATAGTCTTAATGCCTTGATGAAGCTCTTTAACCATCAGCAGCTAGAAATTAAGAATGATCACATACCATTAACTTCAGCTGTTGCAACAAAACTGGAGTCCTAGGGCAAGCTCCCTATTTTTTATAGCATTGGCATAAATATGTTTTTGTCATGGACAGAGATTTTCTGGAACAGAACATGAGGTATGAAAAAACAAGTGGCTATGGTAGTGCTAGCTGAATGTGAGAGAGATCTCAGATACACACTGAACATAGTTACAGGTGAGTGGAAGGTATGTCTTCAATTATTTTGAACTTCAACTCAAAAGCCTCTGCCAGCATGGTCAATAGTAAGAGAATGCTGGGAATGGAAGTCCACAGAATCTGGAGAATTAGTTTCTGCCTGTTCCTGACATAAGAGAAATATTTGGGCTACCAAATACCTGCCATGTTGCCACAAGCCCTGGTAAATCAATGCAGTAATCCTTGCACCTGATTTTAATCACTAGTTTTTGGTACACTTCTACTATACATTATTTTATTCTACAACAATTCTGATTAACACTTCCCAGATATAAAAATACAACTGCAAAGTAAATGTAACAAATTTCATAACATTATGGATGATATTGATACAACTGTAATTTTGCTGACATTTAAAAACAAAAGTTCCAGTGGACATAACTCTGATTCAATTTAACTTACTTGTGTGGTTGTTATTCCTTTTTACTGTAAACATAGGTGCTTTGATTACAGAGGCTTGCTGCACCTCTGCTAGTTTTGTTGGACTTGCTGCTAGTGAGGCAGGAAGGAATTAGCACTTTCAAAACCAAAACTAGAAAAAAGCATAACCACTTGTTTTCTGGGTGGGGACAGATCAGCAGAACTTTCTTCTCTTCCAAAAATGAGTATTTCTGCTCATTTCAGTTGATTCAGGAACTGCTAGCTTCTCTTTGCATTAGCAGTGAATTCTATCAGTGTTCAGGGAATGTAAGATAGTGTCAGTCTCCTAAGCTTTGAGGACAGCCAATATATGCCATTAATATATGGGCTGTCACTGCTGTGTTTAGGAAATGGTTACTCATTTTGTTCTAGTTAAAGAAGGCTGATACTGTTAGTCTGCTGTACTGGAAACAATCCTGTGGTGCTACATAAATAGCACATTTATTGAGGCAAAAACCCATTGTCAGATGCCATTTTAATCTGATTTGGAAAAATAGCAGGTGTGTTTAGTCTGATGTGTGGTATTGAAGATGTATTTGTTGAGAGATAGGTTTGTGATATCCTGGTTGAAGTATGTATGAGCAAGTGAATTGATACATTCCACATTTCCTTATAAAGTCAATAATACTTAATACAGTTTGATTGCTCCATAACACCATTGTACATTCATTTAAGGTGGTTAATATGGTGTCTGGGTAATTCTGGGAATTGTAGGACATTTTTCTGTTTACATGTGCAAAGGATTATGCCCAAATCCACCACTGTCTGTGGGAGACAAAAACATTTTGAGGCATACATTACTGTTACTGTCATTATTAATTATCATTATTATTTCTATTCCACTCAATCCTTGCAACAACCCTTTGAGACAGGTTTGACTAAGGTTAGGTTAAGCTAAAACAGATCTTGACCAAGATCATTCACTGAATTCCGTGACTGAGTTGGGCTTTGAATCCATATGACATAACATCTGTAGGGCAAACTGAAGAGGTACTACTTGATTTGGGATTAACAGGAAGTAGAGTGAAAATTAATGGGACACTTTATTTGCAGTATCTCCTGCAAAGATTATAGCAGTTGTGTCCCAATTTGTGAAATGTTCACCTGCTTTATATATCATAGTCCAAGAAACAAGGCTCCATTAAAAATATGGGCAGGTAGCAGTGACAATATCAACAGTTGTGGAGATTGTTCTACTCTTCTGTTCCCCTCAGACTGTCTGAAGTGAGAGAAAAAGAAGTAGTACTGGGAAAACATGAGATGATTACACATAGATGATGTCATGCTGACCCAACTTAAATGTAAGTAAATAGTATGGTAATTTCACACTAAAGGTTTAATATGGAAATAAGCCAAAACACAATTTCAGTGAACACTTCAGAAATAATTCTGTGATTGCAAGAATTACATGAGTAGCTTCGCAATAACCAGCAAGACTTTAGCCTTCGTGTTTCTCCAAACCAGTTCCTCATAACATATGGAAAAACTGCTTTTGAAACCTGGGAGAGTTTCAAGAACAATTCAAGATGGGATGAGCCTTGTTGTTTCTTCAAGTGGTATAGAAGTGAAAAATTCTGTGCATAAAGTAACTTTCTGATGTGACTATGTTAGCACGAATTCTTATGAACCTGAAAAATGGCAATGAGAATGAAGCTTTTCACTCCATTATGAATGGCCTGATATTAAAAACAATTCAGCTCCTAATGTTCCATGTCCAGATGCTTATGAATATAGGAAACTGCCCTATACTGAGGCAGATCACTGGTCCATCTAGCCTGGTATAATTCAAAACTGACTGGCAATGAATCCTAGGGCATTTTCCAGCCCTATGAAGGTGTTGGGGACTTAACCTGGAATCTTCTGAATGCAAAGTATGTAATCTATCACTTGTTGCTCTTGAAAGAAATTCTGCAAATGTTTAGGTGCGGGTAGGTTCTATCACATGTTCTCTCTGAAGAAAGAATTGACTTCTGCTATGAGCACCTCGATTTCTTAGCAATCCTGGAGCTGGGATTCAGCTGTTCTAGCAAGAAAAAACACTTGCCTTTGCAGCAACGCTTCTTAAAAGAAAGGGGAAAACTTACTCATCAAGCTCTGGTCCCACCATTAGAGGCCTTTAACTTGAGTCTTCTCTTTGCCTTTTTTAAAAATATAGTGAGGATCTTACAGTTCTTCAAAACATGTGCAACATCACACTTACCTCTGTTTCCCATTTTGCTGATTCAGCTACTAAACACTTCCTCTAGAATTTTCACTTTTCCTGTTTAACTTGTTGTAGAATAAGATTTCTGCTAATTCCATTATCTTCAATTTTGTATTAACCCCCTCCCTGCCTCTAAAACTATAAAAGCATAGGTTTTATGAAGTTAGCTCTGGTTGGTTGGTTTTCACTGATGCTAAAATATCAATGAAACAGCTGTTTGGAATTGCCCAGAGGGTTTCTTTACATCTTTGGTCTAATAACATGTTCCGATTCTCTAAATATAAGGAGAAATATGAAATAGGATAAATATGAAACTTTCATTGATATCCTACCTGCCTACACAAGGAGTGCTGCTAAATTACTATGCATGGATATATAACGATTACAAAGACTGAATTTACCCAGGACATGCTATGGCACTTCAGCCCAATGATATGATGATTTTTCATTTCTCCAGGATGTAAACAGTGAAATTTATATCAATAATAATGCAATAATGCAGCCCTTTTTGTTAGACAATGCACAAAGGGATTGTCAGTGGTGGTTTGCCACATGTCAGCACATTCAGCCCACAAACTACAGTGCTACATTTTTCACAGGGTATGCCACAAAGTTTTTGCAGCAAAATACTTGACGTATCACTCTCCCATCAAAGATAGTGAATAACTGACTGTGGAGACTGAACAGTCACTTATGAATTTTTAAAGAAGAGGGATTGCATCACTGAAACAGAGGACACAGGTTTGGATAACATTTATGTACGTTAACATATATATGCAAAATTTGAAGTAATTAATCTTGGAATAGAAATAGAATACAGAATACCATATCGTAGGGGACTGTGACCAGGTGACTTGTGATCCTTCCTATTCAGTCTGTTTTCCAGATACCAGTCAGTACAGGCAACTGTTCTCATTGCATTTTATAAACTAGAACTGGACAGTACAGTCTTTGAAACAAAGTACCTTCAAATGAAGGATGGTCCTCTGGCATCCCTTCAGAAAAAGGACACATTCCCCCAGATGGCTTATTCAAAGCAATAAAAACAAAACTTGCGAAACAAACTATCAGTAGGAAGTCACTAGCTAAAAAGAACAATTTCAGCATAAAAATGCTTTCAAAATCAAATAGAGGACCGCCGTCCAAAAGAGGGGACACATGAGTACTGAAAGTGGGGGAGAGGAATTGGTAGTCTCCATGTTCTTACCAATATGCAGTTATTCCTCGATGTATTTTAGAAATTTTCCATCCAAAAAGGGATTGGATTCTTACATTTTTTTTTCTTGGTAATCTTTGAATAGAACTATGCCTTCCAGCCCCATTGGGTGTCGCTGTGGTCACTGGATCTGGTAAATCTCTCCGTGCTGTGCCAAACGGGTAAGAGTCTGAACGGCTTTTTAAAAACAAAGGGCCAGTTACTAACTTTGGATTTGATAGGAGGAGCTGTTAAATCTTTTAAATAAAACTGAAAATTGCAAGGCTCTTCATTCCAGAGTTATTTCATTATTTTAATAAAGCAAACTGAAATATTGTGCCATACACTAATTCCAGGGTAGGGTTGGGTTGTCATTAGTGTGTTAGCAATGTGATGATGGTTTAAACAAGGGGCCTTCCCTGTCAAGCTAACTGTACTTGCAGATCTAAGTGCTGAAGGTCATTCTGGCTCAAAGCACCTGTCCTTTCAGGGTATTCACCTTTTTACCAAAGTTTTGGTAAACTTTACACCAAGTTTAGACTTGGTGTAAAGAAAATGGCTTTTCAGGCTGGTGCCACACTTGACAACCGTCATGCACACAAACCTGCCACAGAAGCTTTGAACTATTTATATGATACACATTACATACAACAGGGCTGGCACTTTTCAGAGAGGCCTCTCCTGCACATGTCATTGCTAAAGCCCCAGTTGGCTCTGTAGGTGTTATCATGAAGATGACAGTTTAAACAGGCATTATCTCTGTGTATTCAGTCAAGGTTTATGAGAATGATAAGTCACTTTGTATGTTCATTAAAATACTGTTCTTTGGTACAAGCAATAGTGATATTAATAGTCACACTGTCTTGTGTTCGCTTTCACATGCCGATTGAGCTGAAGCAGTGATCTAGGCAAGTAGATTTGCCTTTAATACCACTGCATTTTTTATTATTCAGTGACTAAGATTTGTTTTTTGTGTGCAGCAAAATTTATATTTGTCATTCCCAAATGACACAGTGGAATAACACTGACATTAGTTAGAAAAGTTTCACAAATGTTTGTATTTGCTTTTTCTATGCACTGTAGCCCACAGAGATACCCCTTCTTCCTTATTCCAGACAATTGGGTAGCTTTTTAATATATTGGTTTAAGCCTTACATCTGGCACTCAGATCTTAGCACAGTGGTGAACTATTTGCTTTGCATGCAGAAAGTCTCAGCTTCAGACCCTTGCATTTCTGAGGAGGGCTGAGAAAAATGTCTGCCTAAAACCGTGAAAGCTAATTCTAGTCAGTGACCCTGTTTGCATGCTGGAGGCGGGAGAGTCATAAGTCAACGTGGTTGTTAACTACCCTGCGCTTGCTGGTTGCATGCAGGAGGAATTAGCAGAATTACTTTCAGCGGCCCAGTTGCCCATGTCATATTAACTTGCTTTGTTGCCATAACGAAAAGCCACTCTGAATCTCTAGGCTGTTGTAGGATTGATATTATTGTGCGGGTCCAGTCCGGGTGCCTTGTTGCTCTCGTTAACAAGCAACTTGGAACCCATAGGCTATTGTACAAGCAGTGGAGAATGGAGCCACCATGGCTTATTCCTCTCTCTGTGATCATGCAAATAGGCCCAGTGCGTGAATCTGGATCACACAAAAGCTCTCATTACAATATTTTCTTATGTTTTCTATTTTTCCACTGTTAAATTATTTGCATTAGCTTGCTAATTCTTTCCAAGTTCAACTTAAAATGCTGATTTTAATCTGTAAAGCTTTAAAGACCCAGGCGTATATTGTCCCAATTAGCATTTATTTTCATACGTGTGGTGCAGTGGTTAGAGTGTTGCACTAGGATTGAGAGTTGTGGGTTCAAGTCCCCACTGGATAGCTTTGGGCCAGTCACTAACTGGCCATCTGAGCTACCTCATAGGGTTGTTGTAATGATATAATGACAAGGAAGAAGGTCATATATGCAACATTGGGCTTCTTAGAGAAAAGTGGGATATAGATGTCCCACTATATACAAATATATACAAATAATATATTTTGGTAATTTTGCTTCTGTCTTGGAACTATTTTGTTAAATTTTCTTTTCTAATTTTATAGGTTACTTATTAAATTTATATCTCACTTTTTTCCAATGAACTCAAAGCAGCTTTCATCATTCTTTTCATGCTGTTCTCAGTCTTATCTCTACAACAACAACTCTGTGAGGTAGGTTGGGCTGAGAGTCTGCAACTTGTCCAAAGTCAACCAGCTGGATCCATGGCTGAGCAGGGACTAGAACCCAGATCACCTAGGCCCACACTCTGAACCATGCACCACACTGATACTTAATAGCTGTAAGTTACACATCAATTAGACCATAGGTCTAAAGGAATATGTTTTAATTAATTAATTAAAAGCTTAGCCATCCTATTATACAAAATCTCAGGGAGGCTTACAATATTTAAAAGAACAATTAAAACAACAATTTCTAATAAATAATAGAAACAGAATAAAACAATAAATCACAAAGCAAACAGAGTGACTCAAGGTTAAAAGTTGTTAAATTTTAAAATACTGTTTAAATAAAAAGGTTTTGGCCAGGCGCTGAAAAGAGTATAAACTTGGCGCCAGGTGTACCTTTCTGGGAAGTACATTTTCATTTAAAAGGTATTAGGGAAGAGATCATTTTGCTCTCTGGGTACAACACTGATAAAACATAGCATAGTGCCATGTTTGTATGTTTCCTTATATTCCTTATATTTAAAATTATGCTGTTTTAAAGTTATACCTACCTGTGAGTAGGCTTATTCTAATAGGAGGCTGATGAAAACTTCCCCATGTCTATCCTGCTCATGTAATAAAGAATGACATCAAAGCTTTTCCAGGTCCTACAGTACAAGCATTTTTACATAGAAGTAATGAAATTTACTTCCTAGTAAGAATATTTAGGAATGCAGTGCCCTAATGTTTTTAAACTTTCCTTTATTAACATTAATTTGCATTCAACATTGATTTACAGAATAGGTTAATTACATGCAAGATAATTATACAAACTGTGTTTAAGTTCTAGTAACATGTACTCTGCTCATACAATATGGACAAGTATAGAAAACCATTTTTCCGAGGCTGGTAAGGTTTGTAGATCAGCTAATTTTACAGTGGGTACAAGTTTGTGCTGTAATGATTCTGCATAAAAAGAGAGTACTGTACTGTGACAGACTTTAAAGATGTTTTTTCTTGCTAAGCTCTTCTGTCTATTAGCCCTTTGGCTTTTTATTTACTGTTTTTACTACAGTGCTGTAAGTTTTGTGTTGTGGATTTTGTTTATACACTTTATATAATATTTTATAATGTAAACTATCTTGGACATTTCAGATTTGAAGTGAAAGGTTAGGAAATATTTTCAACAAAAGGATCTGCCATCTGCAGAGTGCTCTAAGAGAATTTATATTTCCTTCCTTACACACAATTAATGTGCTCTGTGAAAAAGCTTGGGACATTCAATAAAATGTTTTTAATTGGTGCCAGTTTAACAACAGTGTGGTTACTTCCCTGCCCCATGCCATGTAGAATAGAATAGTTTTGCCTGAGCACACAAACAGCTGTTCCCTGGCAAATGGCTCATCATTTCCTCAGATGATGGTAACTATACTTGGTTTCTGTGATTGATTCCTGGCTTTCAATTTGAACATTAAATGGGGTTTTTCTCCCAGCACTCTACAAGGTTAGAATATGGATCATCACTCTTTAAAAATTATTTAAACAATACCTTGTATTCTCTGTTCCATACGCATAGAAAATGTGGATGTTATATGGGGAATTCTCAATATTCCTTGCATGCAAAATTGCCATAGGATACAATAAGCATTTCAAAACAAATCCCTACAAGGTGGGAGAGTTTGAAAATTGTACATTTTTGTGGAGTGTTGGTAGGTTCTAATACAGTTATTGCCCAGTGATGTATAATGTTAGGATAATTCCACCAAGGCAATGTCCAAGGTGGATGTAGAGGGTGAGAAAAGGAATGCAGAATTCCATGCTCACTCAGACTCGGATCTTGTTCTATTTCTTAGATACGCATATGGCTAAGCTGGTAAATAGAGGCTGCGTTAACATATTCCAATAAAAGTTAATGAAGAGCCCCAAAGCACTCTTTTCTTCTGCAACTTGTACTGGAAGCTACCAGTGCATCCTGCAGGTAGACATGGCACACCCGCAAATGTATCTGACCTACAGACGGGGAATACACATCTTGGATACACATCATTTTGTCTGTATGTCTGGAGAACCTACTGACACAAAGAAACAGCTTGTTGTAATACACATGTATCTTCCCAGATCCCTTAAAGCTAGTCCATTTTTAGGCTCCAAATAAATATGCCTGAAATGAAGCAACTAACTATACAAATGCAAAAGTATCCTGCAGCCGTATTATATAAAAATTATTATTATTTATTATTATTAAAATAAAAAAGATGATTAACATGAGCATTTGAATAGTTCATAAATTTACCTTTCAGTAAACAACAGAAAAAAGGCGCAATTCATTACAGCTATTTATCAGTAACTCTGTTGCTGTGCTAAACAGGGAGAAATGAAAGGGTAGAAGCTCCAAGCAGGAAGCCTTTCATTAAAGACAACAGAGTCCCGAAAAGCCTTGACAGAGCTGTGCAGTGCATTAAAAATGTAGGCACCACATATCAGGTCAAAAGGGAAGGCTAGCACAAACGCACTGGAGTACAACAATTTGTCAGAATCTAGGTCCTCTATAGATATGCATATGTGTGTATGAACAAAGGATGGCAATTCCTGTCCAAACTCAAAGAGTGCGTGTGTATGTGTGCATACACATGCAGGTGGGATGACAGAAAGATCTTAGCTAAAACCTTGGTGGCATGACTTTCTCTCAGATATTTATTTATTCATTATGTTTCAGGAGCCCCTCATGTATAAACACAGCATTGCACGAACAGAAGTATGGGACACAACTCTCCTCTCCAAAAACAGATGAGACTGTTCTGAAGTACATAAATAAAAATAAGCTTTTTAAGCCTGACACATTTCAGAAAAAAAATTCCATCCTCGGGAACCTACTGACTTGATCCACGTACATCTTCCAAAATGTACAAATGCTTCCTCTGTTTCAAGTGACTGCTACTTTGGGATATAATTGGAGCCCTTCTCCCTGTTTCTTGGAAAGAATTCTCATCACCTTAGAATGGCAGCTGTAGTCCTACCCCTCTAGAAGGTACTGGCTTTGGAAAAATTGGACTAGAATATTTGTGTAGCTTGAAGTACTGGAACTGTAGAAGACATTAAGGAAGCCTTTAGTTAGATTGATCATACTTGCGTTGTTCTCAGTTTGATGTATCTCTGGCAATTATGAGCAAGCCATAAATAGAGTAGCCCCACTTAAAAGGGTTTTGCTCACCTAAGCCACTGGTTTTTTTTTTTCATCAAATCAAACTGATGAGCAAACATCCATATACTACAGCTCAGCTAATCTGTTGCACAATTTTCCTCTCCTCCACCTTAACCTAATGTGGGAGCCACTATGACTGCTTTGGGTTAACAATAGCTGCATTTATATGTTATGTTTTGCTTGTAAACTGACATATAAGGGAGTGTAATGGGCTTAGGTCACCTGCTTGTTCAGGGGAGGTTTCATTCTTTTCTCTTTTTTTAATCCTTTCATTCTCTTGGGTGCTCACTTGATCAGATGTGAAAAGCAGTGCCATGGTGTTCTGCCAAGTATTGGCCATGGTAGAGTTTCTAGAAGTGGTGCAGTAACAATGAAGCCAGTGTGCTTCTTTTAGCTGGGAGTGGGGGTAGAAAGGTGAGAGATGCTCAGAGCTGGATTCACTTTAGTATTTTACCCTGTTTAACTGTTGTGGAAAAAGGAAGGTGCATTTGATAGATTCCGTGCGTAGTAGGCAGTGTATGCAGACTTTAATAGTATGAAATTTGTCCTTTGCCAGCAGTTATATCAACAGATAATTCCATTAAAAATCTATGTGTGTTCGCCCAACATTGGAGGAGTGAAGAACCACCCACTGATGAACCGATTCTAAAAAAAGATTCTGGACTGTGCTGAAATGGACAGGCTGACTTTGTCTCTGAAGGAGAAAGAGGATACATACTTCTATCAAACTTGGAATTCTTTTTATTATTGGCTAGAGAAATAGGACTATGCGTAGATTTGAATATGTCTATGGATTGCTATAAAAATAAACAAACAAACAAACAAACAAACAAACAAACAGGGGGCTGACCCAGCAGGTCTGATGTCTCTGATGATTTTTTTTTAGTTTCTTTTTTACTTTGTAGAAAATAATAATAAAATTTACTTTAAAAAAAACTATGTGTGTTCAAGGTATTGCAGGAAGGAAATGTCACCAGGGGGTGTTTTGTTTTGTTCTGTTTCTTGCTTTTCTCATGGGTTTGGAGGTTGACTCCCATAGGGATCTATGCAGTTGTTCTGCAAAGACAGGTATCTCAGCCTTATCTGATGTTGTGTCCCTACAGGATTTTTGGTCTTCAAATAGCACCAGCCACAAGTCAGCATGGCCACTAGTCAGGGATGATGGGAGTTGTCCATAATACCTAGAAGGCCCCACATTAGAGAAGGGTGTGGTAGCCCCTCATATCCCTTGTCACAGCATCAGTTTTATTCTGCAGGTTCATCAGGACTGTTAGGAGAACCGATAAATAAAGAATACTCTGAGTCTAGGCTTCATGTTCCGTAATTATCATGCAAGTGAATAACTGATGGTGGCTCTTCTCCATTTCAAAAGGTTCTAGCAATGGCCATAATTCACCTGGATATTCCTCACTGAATATTTAAGTAGGGCTGTGTAGTAGCTGCCGAAATCCCAGATTTAGTTCATAAAGCAGTTTTGTTAACGACATGAAAGTATTTTTAAAGTTCACTATGTGCAAAATGGAACTTGAGGTCCTAACACAAACACAAGTCCTAACACTAATTTGGTACCCTTTCAATATGTTGAATTACAGTTCCAAGCATCTGCCATGCTTGGAACACCTCTGGAAGGGACTAGGTTGGGGAAGGTTGCTTTAGTGCAAAAATCATTTCTCTCTTTCATTTTGTGTATGGATAGCCTTAAAGATAAACCTAAACCAAAACAATGCACCAAGCCATTTAATGTCAGTTTTATGCTACATGTAAAATTTAATGCTTCTTGCTGTGTCAGTGCTAATTTGCAGCTTCTGTATCATGTCAGACCCATGTCATCTTCGCTGCTCAATTGTATATGTAGCCAGTGTAAAGAGGCCTGCCAATCCTTCCGCAATTAACTATGCTTCAGAATTGGCAGGAACAGAAACCCTGCATGATGGTGGCTAATGTGACTTTCCAGTGAGCAAAGCCTGCCTGTCATCGCCATCTCCTCCTGCAAGCTTTCTTATCCGACAAGAGACTTTCTTCTTCTTTCCTTTTATTAGATCATGTACAATTCTACACATTTGCTAGATGAACTCTAGAACAAGGGCCAATGCGCAAGACACATATCTAAGCATCTGTGAGGAAAGCCCTGGAAACAAATGCATCTCTCAACCTGGTACTTACAGGCAGGAATGAAGAACAAAAATCCACACAAATGCAGCATAAGCTATACTAAGTACTGCTTAGAGAGGCTAAGAGATTATACCAGCTCTGGCATAGGTCATGTTTCCTACAAGCTCAGTAACAGCAAAAGCACACTTAAAGCTGTATCTTCCACTGGGTACAGGAGAAATATCGATCAAATAACCAACTTGGTCTACTTCAGATCATGTTTTGGATCTTTCAGCTCTAAGCCTCTGATAGGCATAGTTCCCTGGATGTCCATTATGAATGTAATCTAAGTTCCCTCCTTGTTTGCAAGAGAAAAGTTTGGCGAAAGGAGTGGGGTGGATATGGCCAAATCCAGCTAAGCTGAAATCAGCCCTGAAGTTCTAACTCTGGAAACGCCCAGGGATGGAAAGGAAGGAAGGGGGTTTCCTGGAAAAAAAGAGAACACGGTTGACCTTTAAACAGAGTTGGCTCTATTGTCTGAGGAAGACTTAATCCAATGGAAGCTGAGAGAAGAAAATAAACTAAATATCACAGAACTGTAATACAAACAAAAAACACCGGCACTGCTTGTGTTATAGTTTCTTCCCTGCTGAGAACAGACCCTCACCATTGCGGGAGGCAAATAGGGAGACAGGTATTGTACAAGAATGCTGAAAGTGGGAATGCAGTCAGTCTGAATCCGTTCACATTGTACCTGCAGTAATGCATGCCGCTTCATTAGTTCATGGGTGGTAAGTCCTTAAGGCTGCTGTCCTGTATACATTTACCTGGAAATGAGGCCTTTAAAGATCTCCCTCATCTTAATTTTAAAATGTTTTAAACATTGTTTTATGTACTGCATTTTGCTGTTTTTATATCCAGTTGTGAACCACCCAGAGAGCTTTGCCTATAGGTAGTATAGAAATGCAAATAAGAATGGTAATAATAAAGTCCCAATGGATTTAATGCAACTTGCTTCCAAATCGATGTGCCTATTCTGTCTATTTTGCTTTAAAACACTTGTAAAGTTAATTAAGGTGCTTAAGTTTACTTATTTAGAAATTAGCACTTTGATATAGAAAATAAGGGAATAATGTGAGAGTCAATGACAAATCTCATAAGTAAATCAAAGTAGATGACAACCACTTTGCTCAGATCCAACCAATACAAATGGGAATAATAGATTATTAAATTAGGCAAACCAAATTTAACCTAAGGCTGACATTAATTTTTGTAAGTGTGCAGTCATTATTGCTTATCTTCTTCCTTTTCTTCAAATTTAAAAAATGGCCTTCTGCATACATGCAGCTAATGTTTCAGAAAACAAATACCACCAAACTGTAAGAAATGACACAGTTCTTAATTTCATGGACAAATTCTCAGGAAAAGGAGATACTATATAATAATGCCATACTGACTTTGAATTGTGAGTTTTCCCAGATTGGATGGGGCCAAGTGCCTCTTCATTAGTGTGGGTATGTCCACCCTAGAGAACCCAATTATATCTGCAGAATTCTCTGTAGCCATAATTGTATTGATGATGATATTTCTACCAGTAGTAGGACCTGAAATGTGGTTGGGAAATTCTGGACTGGGGCACGATAGTTATTCCCTTGAATCCACAGAACCCAAAGTATCTTCATTCACTAGAGAGGTACCCTGTACATCAGCCTAAAGTTGGTACAACTAATCCAGTCCTCCGCTAGGACTAATGGAATCATTGCACAGTAAAGGAGGTTTAAGAAAATCAAAGATCTGCCTAGGACAAAACAAATTAAGTCTGCCTCTGACACACCTCTTACCCTGGCTGGTGTGAGTCAGCAGGGTTAAGTCTGCTTAAGCCTGAGAAAGGATTGGACAATCTACCACTTTGCTGCAATTTAAATACATTTCTGTGGCTTTTTTTATTTTGAAGTGGACCATATTAGGCTTATTAGGACCAACTGAAAAGTCTCCAAATTAGGGAGCTTTCAAGTTTTCTTGATCTCTTCCTCGGCATTTTGAACTAGTTTGTTTCTTTGTAACTTTTCAATTGATCCTAGTATAGATATTTTATTTTGGGAATTCCTCCCACCCATGAACAAATATGACTACTGGGGAAGGTGAGGAATCTATCTTCAGAAGGGTTGTCTTGGTCATTTACAAGGCTGGAATTGCCATAAAATGACCACATGAATGATGCCCCATAGAGCCAGCTGAAATAGTACAGCCAGCCCTCAAAGTGATGGCTGTCTGGATGTTTTCAAAGTTCACAATCAACTCTAACCCAACTTTAAATGGGGGTGGGGCATAGCTGTAGCATTCAGTGGAGGTTGGTGGTCGCAATCCCAGTGGATACCTAAAATCCATGTATCCACTCTGGATTTTAGTCTGAACCTTTCAAGACCTATCCATGAGATTGAACTTTTAAAAATGTGGTTTCAATCCCATGAATAGTTCCCTTAAAATTTGAACTGAGCCCTGGAGCAGATATGCTCACTGACTTTGCTGCTAACAGCCACTGCCGGTTGCATCTTACGGGTGGTGACCATGTTTTCCCCACTATAATAAAACTTAGGAAGCAGCATCGTAGATCCGCAGAGCACTGACATTAATTTTAACTAGAATGTTCCCATCTTCTCCTCTTCCTGTTGCTGTATATAGTATTGATAGTGTAAGCACATTTTCTGCACAAGGGCTATTGAACCAAGCTGGATGTGTCAATGTGAATGGAGATGGACATCCAGATTAGCTGGCATGGGTAACTCATTGCCCATGGCCTGAGCTCAACCTGTTTAGTGGGGTCATCCGACCCTATGTATAGCATTGTCAGGGGATGAGAGAAACCACAGTGGGGAAGAAGAGGGAATTTTCCTTTGCTAGCTCCATTGCATGCACCTGCATCTGGATCCAGCCCAAAATATTTGTGCTCTTTATTTCTATATTGCATTCAAGCTGTTTATTACAAGCCCCATCCAAGGAGCTTAAGACAGCATGCCTATCTCTCTTTCTCTTGCACACCCTCCCCCTTTTTTATCCTTGTAATAATCCTTTCAATAAGTTAGACTGAGTGATGGTGGGCGGTATAGAGTCACCCATTATGGGCTTTCTAAATCAATTAAAGGTAAAGGTTTCCCCATGACATTAAATTCCAGTCATGTCTGACCCTTGGGGCCGGTGCTCATCTCCGTTTCCTAGCCGAGGGAACCAGCATTTTTCCACAGACAGTTTTTGTGGTCATGTGGCCAGCATGACTAAACACCAAGGTGCACAGAATGCTGTTACCTGCCCACCTAAGTGGTACCTTTTTATCTACTTGCATTTGTATGCTTTCACACTGCAAGGTTGGCAGGACCTGGGACAGAGTATGGGAGCTCATCCCATCTGAGGATTCGAACTGTCGACCTTTTGATCCACCAGTCCAGCAGCTCAATGGTTTAACCCACTGCACCACCGTATCCCCTCTAAATGAATTAGGAATGTTAAAATTCCGACACACACAATATTCTGTTGAGAACTTGGAGGCAATTGAAATTTTGGGACATAAGCTTCTGCACATTGAGTACTTTTAATCCTCTGTACCTTCTGGTCAAAAT